CAGCTCTTGGGGTGGCCTGCAATCTAGGAGGTCCAGCAAGAGTTGGTGGGTACCTTCTTGCCTATGGCACTTAAATCTGTAGGGTAACAAAGATGAGGTAATAAGGACATCTGCCCTGGGTACAATGTGGACAGAAGGCATAATATGGATTCAGGGATGATGTAATGTACTGAAAGATTTTTAAACAATGTTAATTGTGTAATGTTTTCTTTCGGGTACTGAATGATTAATCATGTTTCCAAGATGGTTAGGTGAAAAGCCAAATAACTGAACAAACTTTGAAGGTCTGAATGAATTATACCATTGCAATTGGCTTTCTGCCTATGGAGTAACACAGTAAAGTACATTTGCCTACAGAGTGACACAGTAAAGTTTGTGGGGAGGGAAGACTTCAGAGACATATGGCACAACTTGCTTGAGTAGTCTGTGTAGCAGTAATTTTGACCAACACTCTTAGGAATCTATAACTATTTTTAGTTACCAGGTGCTAAGTTACAAGCACTGAACCTGTTCAACAGGTCTGTCTGAAATGTGCAGCTAGAGGAGACACATTTTTGGAGGTTACTTCACAACTGTGGAAACTCCCTCTGAAGAATTGCAACATTCAACACTAAATGCCTTTTTAAAGCATCCCATTATTTGTTTTCTTAGGGTGTTTTGTGCTTTCTGGCATTTCATACTTTTTGTTCCTCTCCTCAAATAAATCCCAGATAAATAATTACCACTTTATTATTCTTTAAAGACATAAGAAAAAATGGAAGATTGGAGAAAATAAATCCTTCAGAAACTTCTGGGCATAACAACTGCAGTCTCTTTCTACCTAATAGATGGAGTAAGCACAGTTAATCCATCTGCAGAATGTGATCAAAAATTGTTCAAGGGAAGGAGTCCTTTCATTAGCGGTCGACTATCAGCAGTAGTTTTCACATTTTGAGATTTGTTTTCATTCTAACTTATTTATTGCTTCCTAATGCTTATCTTTTAAATCTGTGGATAAAGTCTATCCATAGTCCTTGTCATCTTGTCGTTCTGGTAATCAGAAATGACTCCAGCTCAATGAGTAGCTATTACACAGAAAATTGATATAAACTGCTGGGATGTATTTCAACAGTACTCTGGCATCTGCAATGGCTTCCTATAAGCTTATGGACAAATGTTGACTGGTTGCAAGAGGGCAAAGAAGAAAAGCTTCATGTAGATGCCATGCCAATCAAATCTGGGATTCTCTTGTTCAGGTACTGGCAGACCAATCAGATCCTGGACCTGCTGATTACTAGGAGATTTTGAGGACAGAAGTAGCATGTAAGGCTATATCTCCCTTATAAATAAAAGCCAAATGGTGGTGGCACTTCTCTAGAACATTCCACATGCTCCAAAATCAATTCGCTCTCTGATCTGTCATTCAGAGGGTCTCCCTATCCACTGGCTGCTTTGCCTGAGTCCTGCCTCCAACATTCTAAACATTTTGCTGTTCCTCTCCCCCCCACAGCCAGTCAGAACACAGAGGTTATTTGCATATGTAGCCTCATTGGCCTCTGCCTCGGAACACAGAGGTTGTTTGCATATGCGACTTGATTGGCTTTTGCCTCTAACATTCTAAACAGTTTTGCTGTTCTGAGGTAAAATGTGTCCAATCTCCAGGTGAGGGCTGGAGATCACTCAGAATTACTCTGCTTTCCAGATGGCAGAGATCAGTTCCCCTGGAGAAAATGGTGGGCTCTGTATCCTTATATGCTGATGAGGTGGCCCCCATATGACAGTCAGTGTGACGTAGCAGTCAGGGCTTCAGAGCATGGGAGAGGCTGCAGGTGTGTGGGGGGTGGAAAGCTGAAGAGTGAGGGGGAAATAAAGGTAGGTTGATGATTGGCTGGGAAGGACATAGGGTTGCCAACTCCAGGTGGGAAATTCCTGGAGATGTGAGGGATGGAGCCTGGAGAGGGTGAGGTTTCAGGAGGCGTGGGACCTCAGACAGGTACAAAGCCATAGACTCCACCCTCCAAACCAACTATTCCCTTCTGGGGAACCATTGTTGCCAATCTCCAGGTGAGGGCTGGAGATCACTCAAAATTACAACTGTTCTTTAGGTAGCAGAGATCAGTTCCTCTGGAGAAAATGGTGGACTCAGTGTCATTATACCCTGCTGAGGTCGCCACAGCAAATTGACACTGAGTGTCCAAGACCGGGGCACCCGCCCAGAGCCTCTTTCTAGAGGCCGTTGTATTTATTTCCACAACAGGCCTTTTTCCTAGTATATATATATTTGCCCTTTGCCTGGAGGCTCAAAGATAGCATTGACCTCTGAATGCATTAGGTGATCAGGTGCCATCATACACAAGGAGGAGGGGGACGTAATGGAATGCATTTTGGATATTTCAAATGTTTTTATTTTAATTATTTTACAGACTGGGACTTGTTTAGGCATGGCATGGAGAAAGTGAATGAACAAAACTCTTCCTGTCTCATTTAGAGCTCACCAAGTGAAACAGGAGGAGGAGGAGGAGGAGGAGGAGATTGGCTTTATACCTCGCCCTTCACTCAGAGTCTCACAGCATTTTATAATCTCCTTCCTTTCCTCTCCCCACAACAGGCAACCTGTGAGAAAATGGGGCTGAGAGAGGTCTTTGAGAACTACTCTTGAGAGAACTGCTCTGAGAGAACTGTGACTGACCCAAGGTCACTCAGCAGCTGCATGTGAAGGAGTGGGGAAATCAAACCCGGTTCTCCCAGATTAGAGTTCGCACTCCTAACCAGTACACCAAACTGGTGAAGAATAAATTCAGGACAATAAAAAGAAGATTGGTAGACCACCAATTTTAATGTTTACTACTATATTTTAACATTTTAATTGTATTTATTGTATTGCTATTACGTTGTTACCCACCCTGAGCCCATTTACGGGAATGATGGGCTATAAATATGAAAAATAAATAAATAAATAAAGTGCTTCTTTACATATAGCATAATGCTTATGGAAGACTGTCACAGATGTAGACATAGCCCCTAGCTTCAATGTCTTTAAGAAGAGACAGAAACATTCATGGAATTTGTCAGTGGCTATTTGCCATGAGTTCCCAGGAGGCAAACAGCAATGGTGGGCTATTGTCTTGCTTGTGGGCTTCCTAGGAGCACCTAGTGGGTAACTTGGGAAACAGGATGCTGAACTAGATGGCTCACTGGTCTGATGCAACTGGACTCTTCTCATATGAGTTCTGGAATCTGCCGAATCTTTTCGGTTTTGCCTATGTAAGTGCTTAATTCTGACTGGGAGCTGTCTCGTCTCTTTCTGTCACATACACATTGCTTCTCCCTCCTTTCAAAACACTAAACTGAAGAGTCTGAACTATATGTATATGTCTTATAATCTGACTGCCCATCATGTAATGTTCTTCTGTTCTCTGCCCTTTATTGGAAAATCTTCTGTTTTGGAGTATAGCATATAATATTTATGTATTTACTTCTTTTACGGTGGGCCTTTCTCCCCAGTATGGACCCCAAGTAGCTTCTGTTTTTCTCACAACAATCTTTGTGAGGTAAGTTAGGCTGAGAGTGTTTGACTGGCCCAAGATCACCCAAGCAACCCTCCATGGCAGAATGTGGATTTGAAAACTGGTTCTCCCAGGTCCTAGTCACTGCCACAGGAAGTGGTGGGTGCTACAAGCATGGACGGCTTCAAAAGGGAATTAGATAAGCATATGGAGCAGAGGTCCATCAGTGGCTATTAGCCACAAGGTATAGCTAGGGGCTCTGGGGCAAGTGATGCTCTGTCTTCTTGGTGCTAGGGGGGGGGGTCAACAGTGGGAGGGCTTCTAATGTCCTGGCCCCACTGGTGGACCTCCTGATGGCACTGGTATTTCTGGCCACTGTGTGACACAGAGTGTTGGACTGGATGGGCCTTTGGCCTGATCCAACATTGGCGTCTCTTATGTTCTTATGTTCTAGTCTGACATACTTAACAATTACACCACACTAGCTTTCCAGTATGCAAGCTGTATCTTAGATGTCTGATTGCTGATAGAGATTTTGCAAATACAATTTATTACTTGCAGCCCCAGAGGAGAGGGAGGGAGTGAGGATGTGGGGAGGACAGACCATAAAACACCTAGTTGGAGGAAAATAGGTCAATGAATGTGCAAATTCACTGTTGTCTGACTTCTGATAAAGAGCTGGGATGAGTACCAAATTTGAATGCAGATTTCAATATTATTTTCCATACACTGATAAACTAGTGGAACTCTCTGCTAAATAACATCAGGGCCCTGCAGGATCTGATGCAATTCTGCAGGGCCTGTAAGGCAGAAATGCCAGGCTTTTAGTTGAGGGCAACAACGGGTGATTAAGACTGACACCCTCTCTGTTTTTCTTCTATGGCCCCAACATACCCTTTCCTGCCCTGCTGTGTGGGGACAGCAGTGTGACTGGCAATGGAGGTTTAAATCGCCATCTTGATGGGTTTTAATTTCCGTCACTATCCATAATTTTACTTATATATCAATTGTATTTTTAAATGTCCAAAATTTTGTTCATCGCCCAGAGCCTGCTCTGTGGGGTGGGCGATTCATAAATTTAATAAATAAATAAAATAAACTGATCAGTTAACAACTAAATAACTTGTTAACAACTAAATAACTTGTTAATGTCTAACGTGTAAACTGCTAATGTCTAAGCTCTCACAAAACCATTCTGAAGTGAGCAAAATTCCAAAAACACCAAATGTGAGGCTTTGGATGTAAGCCCAAACCAATATACTAGCTTACTCCAGGAAAGTGTTCTTAGGATCACAGTCCTTGTCACTTCATCCTGCTCTGCAATTCACCTTGAGTCTTTGTGAGATAGGTGCTCTAAAAATGAAGTGAATAAATAAAAAAAACCCACCCAACTAGGCTTCGATTAAGACAAGCCATTTGAATGTTGTATGCCTTATTTCTGGGTAAGGTTTAGGAACAGTGTCACTCCTGTTGCCAATGCCACATGTGAAACATTTATATTAATACTGTGGTTACCTTTTCTGGAACAACGCTTTTGCCATCCCACGCATAGCCTCTCTTTGTGAAGTAGTTTACTGTTGCAAATTCAATCAGTGCAGAGAAGACAAATGCATAGCACACAGCTATAAACCAATCCATCGCTGTAGCATAGGCCACCTTGGGAAGAGAATTTCGCGCACTGATGCTCAAGGTAGTCATTGTTAGTACAGTTGTCACTCCTGAAAAGCAAGAACATTTCAGAAGTTGTTAGATTTCCTTTTAATGCAGACAAGCAATCTCACTTATTCTGTAGACTACTGTAATTAGAAATCAGATGAGTGACTTTTCCAGATTCATTTTGGAAATGTATTGTTCCTGGTTAGAAAGCTGCTTTTCAGTTGCCTAGGATCCAAAGGAATCTCTCAGGATAGTTTTATTTTTACTTTGAACAGGAGATCCCATGTAATATTTTAATATGCTTCTAAAATTCTTTTCTGTTTCAAAAGCAGTTTGGTGCAGGGGGACTGCTGTTTGAGAAACACAACAGCAAAGACTTCCAGGGCATGTAGTGACAGAAGAAGAAGAAGAGATTGGATTTATACCCCGCCCTTCACTACCCAAAGGAGTCTCAGAGTTGCTTACAAACTCCTTTCCTTTCCCCTCCCCACAACAGACACCCTGTGAGGTAGGTGAGGCTGAGAGAGGTTTGACAGAAACTGCTCTTTTTCAAGAACAGCTGTGCCAGAACTATGGCTTGCCCAAGGTCATCCAGCAGGTGCAAGTGGAGGAGTGGGGAATCAAACCCGGTTCTCCCAGATTAGAGTCCGCACACTTAACCACTACATCAAACTTCAGATTCTGGCCATTGGTAGAAAAAATATTTTTCCCTCAGTACTGAACATATGTTGAGCATCTACTCTGACACTCTTTTACACACTGAGATCTTAGACAAAAATCCCTTTATTTTACAGGAAATGAAACCAGGTTTGTGATTGGAACGGAAACTGGAATGGAAAAGCCATTGAAACTAAGGCTGTTAGCATTAGGCAGAGTGAAGTCACCCTGCTTATATTTCCTGTTTGTCACACTGAAGTATTGGCTCAGTTCCACTAAAATCCAGTCATCTTAGCCATATGAATTAAGATGTCATTTGCCAAAATCATCCCTGAGTTGGATGTATTGGCTTGACCATCATAACATTTAAAAATTAGATTTATGGCACTTTCAATTTCATTTCTCTTCCTTTCTTTCCTGAATCTCATTGCACATTCTTACAACAAAATTTTTGAGTTGCTCTCCATAGGCTTCAAGACTACTTGTGAATGTTCATTAAATCAGGAAAAAAGATGTCACTGTGGTAATAGACTTTACATTCTGAGTAAGGCAATTCCACACCTACCACTGAACAATTTTCTTTTAACTAGCCATGGAGCTTTTACTGAGAGTTAGAGGTCTGCATCTGTGTTACATCACTTACCATTGTGTTAGATCACATATTCACCAGTTACCTTGACAACTGCAGCTATTTCGGCTGTGATCATACGCACAATCAGCCCCGACATAGGCACGAATGCCAGGAGGATTAAAAGGGCGCAATCAGACATGAACATCTGGGAACATTGCTTTACCACAGAAGCGGAGTAAACAGGCACTGGGGAAAGTCCAGTAGCAAATGGGTTGCTAAGGGCCACGGACGGACTTTCCCCTGTCTGATTGCTTCAGTACATTCTCTCTCTCTTTCTCTCTCTTTTTTTTTTTGAACTTCCGGAGGGGATTTTTTATTGCATTTTCTAAAGACTACAAACTAGAAAGAAAAAATGGGAAGGGGAAACAACTACAACTAAGGATACAGTAAAGTAAACCACTAATAACTAAAACCCCAAGTATAGGAGATCCTTACATTAGCTTGTATAAGTGTTATTCTTAACAGGCTTAGATTACATTGAACATGGTCATTTATGGTAATATATTTAGCTTTTATCCAATCATTTAACTATTTTAAGAAAATTCCAAGAGAAACATTAAAGTAAATGTTTTAAGGCACAATTCAGAGTCCTTCAGCCTTTATTTAGCTTTGTTCTTTCTTTTCCTCAGTTGATAGTCTCGCTTGGGGGCTGCTGCCCCCTTATCTGAAGCAGAGTCCTCATCTGAAGCCACAGAGTCCATATCTTCACTGGATTTACTGTGTTCTTCTTCCCCACCGACCTCTCCTGGCTCTCCCAATTGCAATCTCAGGAACTCGTGTGCTTTAAAGACAGAGTCAATCTTTTCTTTTTTGTCCTTAATTTTAAAGGTTACTCCTTTGGGAATCAACCATCTGTAGGCAATGCTGTTCGTTTGCAGAAACTATATTAGGTCTTTATACTCCTTCCTCTTCTTCCTGATTTCAAATGGGATATCTTTTAAAATTCTGATGTTATTCCCTCCCATTTTCAGGGGTACTCCTGTAGTTGTTTTGAGTATTAAGTCCATGACATGTCTCTTCGAGAATCTAACCACAATCTCTCCAGGCAGGTTATTTTTCTTGATATAGTTGGAATAGGATCTATAGATCACATCTATTTCGCTTATCAAGTATTCTGCTTTTAAATCTGAAACTGGAGCTAATGCTTCACTCAAACGTCCTTTTAGATTCTCTCCTTTTGTCACAGGGACCCCTTGGAATCGGAGGACTAGGTTAGCTCTCTCCATTTGCAGCTGCAAAATTTGAAATTCACCTGAAGTTTGTTTCTTTTCCAGCATTTGCACCTTTTTCTTGACTTTTTTGGTCTTTGCGTCCACTTCTTTGACTTTCTCCACTGTTTGCTCCGTTATTTTTGTGATTTCCACTAGTTGGAGCTGCTGAGCTGCAAGGTTTTGATTCAGTACAGTTAGCTGCTAGTTAATGTTGGTCATTTGGTCCAGCAGAGGGCGCATGGTTTCTGCTAGCATTTTGGATAGCTCCATCCAGGGACTCGAGCCTCCCAGTTTCATTTTTGCTAGCTTGTCTTTCTCCGTTTTCTTCCCCACCATGTTTGAGAATTATTTACTTTTAGTAAAAGTTGCTAAAGTCTCTGAAATTTGCCCAAGTGCTTATCTACGCTCCGGTAAATCTCTTAAAACATATTTCCAAGTTTTTACTTTTGCTCCCCCCTTGGCAAATCATTGTTTTGTTTATGCATGTGGGAGGAACCCCTCCCCCATTCGCTCGACTCGCCATTCCCAGGGGGGGCTTTCTTTTAGTTTTTTGGCATATCTTTTTTTACTTGACTCACTGTTCATTGTTGGTCTTGGGACCTCGTTTGATAGTGGTTAAATCGCCCAATCTCCAATGCTTGTCTTGGCCGGCAGCTCTGTATCCGTACGGATGCAACAGCAGCAGGACTATCAGGGTGGAGGAGTGCCTCAATTCCGCAGCATCTTGGTGCGAAAGAGGCTACCCCTCAAAAGCCCCATGGTGAGGAGCCTTTCGCACCGGCTCCATGGGGGGGGCAACAGACAATTGAGGGCCCCCCCTCACCACAGGCACTCAGATCTTCTCCCCGGAGGTCCAGGAGAGACTTCTGTAGCATATCGCCATTAACCGGAAGCTCGCTTCAGCACATTCTCATGGCATTGGGATGGTCTGATCAGGCCATCCCAACTCCATACAGTTTCCCCCTTCTCAGTATGCGCATCACCACACACTCCATAAGGAGTCCTCAATGCAAAGGTGCAATTAATTGATTCCTTGTTTAAGCGCATCGGAAACAAATGGCAAAAAAACCCCAACTCACCCATGGTTGCGTCTCATCATGCAGTGGTGGGCTGCACCTACAGCTCCAAAGAACTGTGTGATAGCGCAACTGCGGGTCAAATTCCTCTGGAGGGAATAGCCTCCCTTCCCCCCCCCCATTCCATCTGGCATGTGTGACTGCAACCTTCATGTATTAAATCTCAGCTACAGTATAGTTCCACTGCATCAAGAGTTAGCCAAAACACACAGAAATCAGAAATATATTGCACAATCCGTTTCTCCCAAAGGCCAAAATAGGCGTGGAAAGGGCCTTTTATTGACAGAACCAAGCATTGGTTGCCAAGCAACAGGCACTGAGGGGAAATTAGGGTTTCCAGCTCTGAGTAGGGAAATCCCTGGAGATTTGGGGGGTGGATCCTGTGGCGGGCAGCATGGGTGGAGGGGGGAAGGTTTTCTCAACCTGGACCCAATTAGTTCCTCACAAAGGTGTGGAAAGGGTTTCGTTCCTTTGTCTTTTTATTGACAGAACCAAGCTTGGTTGCCTACCAACAGTCACTGAGGGAAAAGTTAGTCCCACAGAGGACCCAAGCAGGCAAAGTGTCTTCCTCAGGAGAGAGAGCGTATTCTGACAGGGAACAGTGGCTGGAGTGGGTGGGGAAGAGGAGCAGACCCAGCTCCTGGCCAATGGCATGTGAGTACTCTTGAGTGGTGGTTGATGGCCAATTGCTGATGGACCGCACTGTGGACGGGACTCAGGCAATGCAGCCAGTGGATAGGGAAAGCTTCTGAGTGACAAATCATGGAGCCAACTGATTTAGGAGCATGTGGAATGTTCAGAAAGTGCCAACCCACTACTCAATTATATATATGGAAAGATAATATCTGGCCTGGAACCAACATTTCTAAGGGACCGCCTCTTCCCATATATGCCTCGAAGAATGTTACACTTGAAAGATCCAGTACCTTACAAAGGTTAGTAAAATGTGAAAAAGAGGGCCAATTTTAAAAACTAAATGTAGAAAATATATAGAAAAAGATACATGTATTTATTAATTACAAATTTTAAAACATATATAAGGGCCCATTCACATCAAATATATAAATAACATGGCAATACACACGGCCTCCAGTAATAGTTTTTGTAAACACTCAGACTGACCCGTTGTGTTGTTACAGAAGCCTGCAAGTTAGAGCTGCCAGAGCTGTGGCTTTAAGATAAGTTCCTTACCTCTAGTCAGTGATGAAACTGCTATAATATAATTCAGTGTCCACTGACTTTTGAATGATCAATAATTTGATTAAGATAGGCCACTTACCAAACACTGTCCTTGCTGGAACAGATTCTCTGTTGAGCCAAAAAGAAACCTGTGATAAAATCACAGTCATAATGCATGGCAGATATGTCTGAATAACAAAATATCCAATCTTTCTCTTCAAGTGGAAATAGGTAGTCATCACAACATATTCTCCTGGAAAAAAAAAACAATGATCAATTGTCAGGTGCTATTTTCTTGTTTTTAAAAAGATGCATTTTTTCCCCTAAAAACCTACACTGGAAATGATTTGGAAATAAGTATAGCTATTTAATGTAAAACATTACATAAGGGGATTCTAATTCATGTTTAGCGATTACAGATTATAACAATTGATATTATGCAGGTGCTATAAACTAATCAAAACTAATTAGAATGGCTACTCTGAATCGGGGGGGGGGGAGACCAGCCAGATATTGGTTATTTATTTATTTATTTTGGAGCCCAAGAAAGTCATAGGGAGTGGTAAGGGGGAGAACAGAGACTGACTTAGCAGACTATAACAGATGGGCCATGCCATCCTTAGCAAAGTCAAGGGTCATTTCCTGCAGGAGCGCACAGGATCGGAGCTCCGGCAGTAAAGAGCCCAGGGGGCGGGCACATGCAACAAGCCCCACCCCCTGCTCCCAGCAGCTCTCAGTCAGAGCAAGAAGCAGCCAGGTAAGTTGCAGAGCTCCCCCCTGGCCCCCGGTCCAAAACAGTCCAGTGGCACCTTTATGACCAAGTTTTATTCAGGTACAAGCTCTCCCTCGTCTGCAAGGACAGATCTGCACGTTCCCCCCCCCCCCAATAGCTAGCAATCCAAAACAGTCCAGTGGAGCCTGAGCGGTGGGTGTTGCCTTCTGACACACTTCTGGTGATGTCAGGGGGTGTGGCATATGCGAATGAGTTATGCTAATGAGTTATGCTAATGAGCTCCTGCACCTCTTTTTCTACAAAATGACCCCTGAAAAGTTATACCTTTCCAAGTCTACTGAAGTAAATGGGGTTAGAAGGGTGTAACTCTGCTTACAAAGGATATGAGGGACATTTCCAACTAGTAGTATTACACACGGATCAGATCAAAGGAACGGATTTCTTTGGCACATAGATAGGCTAGGAAAAATAAAGGGGAAGATTTTTAAATTGTCATACAAATATGAAGGTGGGGGGGGAGGAATACATTTAGGATCACCCAGTGATTAACAGCATCAGGTTCCAAACAAAAAAGATTTAAGAAAGACAAAAGGCTCTTATGTACACAACACAACACATAATTAATTTATGGATTGCATTGTCATAAGATGTGCTGATAGCAAATAGCTTAGATGTTTAAATATATTTAGCATGCTCAAGGATGACATGTTTATCACATATCATGTTTATTAGCCACAGGTGGCCATTATTGGAAAGACAATAGACTTGGGTTTATATGGTTCAATAAAGCAGTTCTTGTGTTCTATTTTTAATACCTATGTGTTGTGGAAATATTATGAAGACTGTGCTTTTCGAGCACTGTCACATTATTTTGGGAAAACTCAAATGAGCTGATCTTGTTTTTCTCAAAGTTGGGGCACCAACTCACCAGAAGGTTCCATTTGCGGTCCTGTGCAGGCAGGATGTAGCCAGCAGGGGTAAGAGTGGCCATAGCTGGCCACATGCTGCAAGGTAGAACGGACTGTGCAGGCAGCTTGAGGGATGGGTGGCAGCAATGGTGGGAAAAACCTGGCCCTCCCCTCCCAGGTGGGCCTATGATGGGGTCCAAGCTGGGCTTGGGGGTGGGGGAAGGGGAGGGGAGGGGTCACCAGGGGGAAGCATGCTGTGCCACCCGGCCAGATCACCTGGCAGCATGGGATCTATTGAGCAAGCTACTTCGTTGCTCCTTAAAACACTGGCTGGCTCTTCTGTCACTTCCTTTGCATCGCCACTCTCCCAAAGCTGCTTTTCTGCAGCTGGAGCAAGGCCCATGCAGTTGGGCTGGCAAGCGTGGCCCACAACCATCTGAGGCTGTGCCACAAGTGCAAGCGGCATGGGAGATCAGGGATGGTGTGCTGCTGAGCTTTGTGTCCCTGACCTTGAGGCTTTGGGCGGTCGCATTGGTGGCATTCATTGTGAACACTGCCACTCAGCTCCTGGGTCACCAGCTGCAGTGAAGCTGTTTAAGCAGGTGGCCACATCAGCAGTGTTAATGAGGAGTTCTGCCACTCAGCTCCCAGGTCAGCAGCGAGGCCTGGAGAAGCAGGCAGCCACATCAGCAGTGCTCATTGGGAGCAATGTTCCCTCTAAGCTGTGGAGTCTTGTGAGCAAAAATTCTACTTTGTGAGCTACTGGCATTAAAGTTGTGAACGAGTGATTTGGCTACTGCATAAATCAGTTTGCTCTGGAGTCCTCCTTCCTGAGCCAAGGCAAAAACGTGTGAGGTGGAGGCTTAAAAACTGAGCTAGCTCACAGTAACTCAGCTTAGAGGGAACACTGATTGGGAGCACTGCCAATCAGCTCCTGAGCCAGCAGCAGCGAGGCCTGGAGAAGCAGCCGGGGACAGCCTCACTTCGGGGAGGCCCCACTAGCAGTGTTCCCTCTAACACTTTTTTAGCTTCCGGCTCACACATTTTTGTCTTAGCTCAGGAAAGATGGCTCCAGAGCAAACTAATTCATGAAGTAGCCAAATTGCTCGCTCACAACTTTAATGATCACAAAGATTTTGCTCACAAGACTCCACAGCTTAGAGGGAGCATTGCCCACTAGCCAATGGACAGGAGCCACATGGGATCAGAAGGAAGCTGGCTATCACCTGCTGAGCATGCAGGGGAGGCCAGGAGCATCAATTATTATAATATTATTATTATTACATTCGGTTTCAAGACAATAAGCTGGCAAATGGTTAGTTTCAGTGGGATTCTGCGCCAGGCCGACGTTGCTTTTGTGTGAGTGTGCCAGCTGGGGAGGAAGCAGAGGGTGATTGCCTGTGATTCTAATTTGCACTATACTCCAGGTTTGGTCAATAATGGGAAGGTTGCCCTAGAGCAGCAGGCTCTCCTCTAATGGTGCCACTTAGAAAGGGGGGGGGGTCCAAAGACACCTCTTCCTCTGGCAGCTCAGCCAGAAAATGAGCAGCTGGTCAATGATTCAGGCTTGGCCATCAGCCCTGTCAACCTGCAGGTCCTTTGCCGCATCCTAGACACTTACTGACAGAGTTCCACCACTGCTTATCTTAGAGATAGCTTTACATTTGGGCTCCCTATCCCCTTCACCAGCCAGTGGCTTGTGGCAGATGCCAATAACCTCAAAACAACTAGGGAGAACCCCAAAGTTGTCACCACAAAAATTACAGAGAGCTCTGCAGGCCGAACTGCAGGCCCCTCCATTGCCCAGCATCTGGGCCTCCACACTTGGGGTGGTTCCCAAGAAAGCTCTGGGTGAGTTTAGACTCATCCATCACTTGTCATTCTCAAAGGGATCCTCAGTTAATGATGCCATTCCTCCCGAATTTTGCTCAGTTAAATACACATCCTTCAGTCAAGTGCTGAGGTTGGTAAGGGCCTGCAATCCCGGAACGCTCATGGTTCTTATATTATGAAGAATGTGCTTTTCAAGCTGTCATGATCTGGGCTGTGCCACCAGAGGGCTACTAGGCCCAGGGAGGCTGGCTAGCAGTAGGTGAGGCTGGGCCTACAACTCCCAGAAGCCCCTGAGAGGTTTTGGAGCCAAAATTGACCAATAGGGAAGTAGAGGGCTGGGGAACAAAAGGGCTGGTGCCAGAGCAGAAGCTATTTCTTCCAGAGGGCAGAGCCAGAAGGAAGGCTGCTGCAGAAAGAAACCCTCATCCTGAGGGAAGGGTGAGTAGTCTAGTGTCACTTGGAATAGTGAGCTAGGGACAGTATATATTTAGACGCATTAGGGCATTTGATTTCTTTTCTTTTCACCCACTTACTGTTATTATTCTGCACCTTGTTGTTTGACCTCCTATAAAATAAACTTTTTCCTTGTTTCACTCTGCCTGGTCCTCATGCCTGTTATTCAGCCAAAAGGGAGGTCTGAAGGTTTGGGGAGGGTGCTCTGGGCCTTCTCAAGGGAACCTAAATCCAGAGTGGTGGCAGCATCAGGTGACACCCCACTTGAGCCGTGACACAAGCACTGTCACATTTTTATGGAAAAACTCAAATGAGGTCATCTTGTTTTTCTCAAATAGAACAGACCGAAAAAAGAAGAAACTGTAAAGTAACTGCGTTAGAAAATATTTAAATAACGATCACAAAATTCTATACAAAAATGTGTACAAAAATCTGCATATATAAATGAGCATAGATAGCTGGAAATGGAGAAATTGACGATGATCTCTGGAATGTTCTACCATTTCAATACTATTGTTCTTCCAAATGTGGATGAAAGCAGCGACTCTTGGTCTGTTATTTCAACAGGTACGTATCAACAATTTCATTAATTTTCACCGATGTATCATAACATAGTTGCAAGAGATTCTCTGAAAGAACGTTCCTAGGGCGAAGTGCTTGTATAATGCTTCAGTATGATATGGCATAAAAATGTTTAAATAAACTATCTCTGTCTGTCTGTCTGTCTGTCTACCTACCTACCTATTTACCTATTTAAACAAACACACACACACACACACACACACACTGCCAATGCCCTGCATCAAAACATTCACAAATGAAAGAATCTCATATGAGGAAACACTCATGTGGTTTGGGACCACTGTGCAATGGACAGTTGTTGATCAGGTGGCAGCAGACCTACTCTCTGCTGTTTGCACCACAAGCTCTAAGAATTCCTAATGCTGGGATATCTCTGAAATTCACAAAGTGTAAAAAACCTGAAACTCCTCCATGGCATCCCCCTTGATCCGCCCCAGAAGTGAATAAGAGTTAAGGAGCCTTATTGAATTTCCATTGATTGCAGTTAGGATTTGTGTTTGTTCTTATATTTACCCCACTCTTTTTTAAAAAATAATCTATTTATTGATTTTAAGACAAACAAACACATAAGAAGACAGTATATGTATATATATGTTTAGCACTTCACAATAATCAGATCAGGATTAATAAGTTCATTATACATTTACAGTAGTCAAATCAGAATTAATAGGTTAGTTATAACTTCACCATAATATTATATTGTCTTATCAAATTTTATATCCCGTATTACAAGGCCTTACAAGT